TTTTTAGTAGTATTTTTTATATGTTTATTTTATAGGAATATTTTTACTAATTATTTTTTGATTTTTTTAAGATAGATCTTTTATAAGATCAAATTAGTAAGTTTCTTTTTTTTAATGAATTCTTTATTATTTTATAAGATTTTTTTAAAGGTAGATTCTTATTAATTTAATAATTCTTTTATTTTTTTTAAAAATGAATTTTTTACATGATTAGATCAGTAAGTCTTTAGATTTTCTTCAGATAGGTTCTACTAATAATTCTTTTATTTTTTTAGAATAGATTCTTCATTTTCTTGGATAAATTATATAAGTATTTCAGTTCTTTTTCTTCAGAATAGTTCTTAATTCTCTAATAATTCTTTTTATTTTTTTTTTTAGAACTAATCTTTCATTTTTTAGATAATTAAATATATCTTTAAACAATTTGGGATTTCTAATTCTTGATTTTTACCAATTCTTTTTTTTTTTTTTTAGAAATAAATCTATAAATATATAAATTATATGTATAGTATTATTTTTTAAATGTTTTTTAATAGAAAATTTTAATTTATTACTACAAATAATTGTATTAATATAATTTTAATTTATTCTAATTTAAAAATATAAAAAATTTTAATAAAATATATTTATATTTATAAAATAAAATTTTATTTATTTAAAATACAACTAAATTAATAAATTTGAAGTAAATTTGCATTTCTTTTTAAAAAAATCATTTTTTCTATTTTAACTGATTTCAAATTACTTCTTTTACTAGAAATAAATTTACCTACAGCTAAAAACAAACGTTTACTAGAAACTGATGTTGCTGTTATTTCTAAATATTCTTTAACTAATTGACTTAAAAAAGGAAATTTTATTTTATTATTTTTCCACCAAATTAAAGGCATATTTTTTTATTGGATTTTATTTTTAAGTAATTATCAACTTCATTTTCATCATTTTCATCAGAACTTTTATCATCATATCTAAGTATCATATTCATAATAAAATTATTTTTATATGATAAATCTATATTACTTTGTATTTTAAATTATTATTATTATTATTAAATTTGAAAATTTCATATTTATTAATAAGTAATGTAATTGCTTTTAATTTTTTATTATCAGTAAATTTTTTAATTTTTTAGTATAAGAATCTAATATAGTAAAGATTAATCCAACCTCTGTAGAAACAGTCCAGTATTTATTTATTGCTATTTCTAATGCTTTTGTAACTAAAATAATTAATCTATCTATTTTTATTGATTTGAAAATATCTAATTTTTTTTTTGACCTTTTTCATTAATTTTAATAATATCAGCTGTTGTATTATCAGGAATTTTATCAAATTCTTCTAAAATTCTCTTTAAATATTTGTTATATTATTATCAAAGAATAAATTTATCAATATATCAGAATTTTCATCATTTTGATTATCTTGATAAAAATCTAACATTTCTTTAATATAATTTTTTAAACTTAAAATTATTAGATAAACCAAAGATATAGTAATATAATTAGATCCTCCTAATAATTTTAATATAATTCTTTCTAATTTTTTTCCATCACTCTTGTTTTCTTTATTATGATTAGCTTTTAATTTATTTAGTAAATAAATTAAAGCTTTTTTTTAATTCTAATAATCTTGTTTAAGAATAATATGAGAAATTACATTTAATTGAAACATCTTTAACTTTTTTATAAACTTTAGGATAATTTAAATTTTCTTGTGTTGCTACTAGATGTTCTAATTGTTTAGATAAACTAAAAAAGTATACTAATCTTTTAACTCTTAAAACAAAAATCTGAATATTTTGATTAATATTTAATGCTTTTTCTATAATTAATTGTAATATATAAGAAGCAGATGAAATTTTATAAATATCATACTTCTTACCTAATAATCTAATAGCTTTAATCATGCTATTAGCATTATCTGTTATAATAAAAGATACTTTATGATTTATATTCCAATCATTTACAATATCTTCTAATTTTTCTTTGATAACTTCATCAGTATGTGGATATTTAACATATTGAAGAGCTAAAAATGCTTCTTGCATTATAAATTCATTTGGTATCCAATATGTTATAACTTCAATATATCTACATTGTCCTCTAGATGTCCAAAAATTACAAGTTAAACTAATTTTATCTATTACTTCAAAGAGTTTTTTTAAATCATCTCTTCTTTTATTAAAAAATCCAGTTAAAAGACTATCTAAAATTTCTTCAGTTGAAATCTCAAAAAAAGAATTTAAAGCTAAAACAAATTCTTTAAAGCCTTTTTTTTTTTTTTTCTAAAATATAAAATGGCTGCCCACTTTCAATAATAAATTTTAAACATTTTTTTTTTAAAAAAAGTTTTTGATCATCACTTATTGGATGAGATTGAATAATATAATCTCTCATATCTTTTTCCTATAAACTTTAAGCTTATTTAAAATAAAAAAAATATAAATTAATTAAATAAAATCATATTTAATATAATTTAATTTTTAAATAAAATATATATATTTATTTACCTTTTCTTTTTCTGTAAAATTATAAATTTTATATTCTTTAGATAAATGATTAATCATATGTGTAGTTGATAATTTATTTTTTACTTTATGATTACATATACCTTCTGGATTTTTAACTGAAATTGATACATCTATTTGAATATAATTAAAATCATCTATAATATTAAAATGATTCCAAACAAAACTTTGTTTTGGTTTTCCTTTATTATGCTTAGGTTTTTTTACAAGTCTATTAGAAGTTTCTTTAGAATTATCATCTAAAATTTAATTCATCCATTATTTTTTTGTGAAAAATAAAAAAAAATTATAATAGTAATAAAAATATTTAAGTTTAAAATAAAATTATTTATTGTCTTTACTGTATGAATTTTTTTAAAAAATACATGATATAATGGTGAGAAATTTTTTTGATAATTATTTTATAATTTATTTGACTAGTAATAAATTGTTTTATAAATTCTTAAAAAAATAAATTTAAAACATTTTTTTGACAATTTTTTTTAAAAGAACTTTGCAAAACTTAATTTATTTGAAGAGAAAAAAAATGTATTTACGAAAAAAAGATACAATCTTAAAAAACTTTAAAAAAATTTTGAAAACTTACTTTATTCAAAAAATTGCTTCAAAAAAACACAAAAAAAAAATACTTTTTTATATGCCAAAACAAATAAAAAATTATCATTCAGTATATAAAATCATTTCCATTGCTAAAAAAAAATAAAAAAAATTTGTAAAGAACCTAACTCCAAAGAAATACTTCCAAAAAGAATCCAAGAAGACTTATCTATCCCAAAAGAATAAAGAATTTGTTCCTAAAAAAAAAAAGTAAAATCAGTAAGAAATCCCAAAAAAATCCAAAGAAAGAACCTAAGAAGACTTATTTATCCCAAAAGAACAAAGAATCTATTTCTAAAAAAAAAGAAATAAAAATTAGTAAAGTGAAGAAAGAAACCTCAAAAATACTTATTTATCCTAAAAAAACAAAGGATTTATTCTTAAAAAAAAGAATTAAAATCAGTAAGAAACCCTAAAAAAACCCTAAAGAAAAAATACAAGAAGCCTTATTTATCCCAAAAGAATGAAGAATCCGCTTCTAATAAAAAGAAATAAAAATCAGTAAAGAGAAAAAAAAAACTCCAAAAAAATCCTAAAGAACTAAAGAAGACTTACCTATCTCAAAAGAATGAGGGATTCATTCCTAAAAAAAGAAATAAAAATTAGTAAGAAAAGAAAGAATTTCCAAAGAAACCTCAAAGAAAGAATTCAAGAAGACTTTACCTATCCCAAAAGAACAAAGGATTTATTCCTAAAAAAAAGAAATAAAATCAGTAAAGAGAAGAAAAAAATACAAAAAATCCAAAAAAAAAACACAAGAAGACTTATCTATTCCAAAAGAATGAAGGATCTGTTTCTAAAAAAAAAAAAAAATAAAAATAAGTTATAGAAGAAAAAACTACCAAAGAAACTCAAAGAAATAATCCAAGAAGACTTACCTATCCCAAAAAAATGATGATCTATTCTTAAAAAAAAAAATAAATAAAAATCAGTAAAGAGAAAAAAGAAACCCTCAAAGAAATTCTAAAAAATCCAAAGAAACCCAAAGAAAACATCTAAGAAAACTTACTTATCTAAAGGATCTGTTCCTAAAAAAAAAGAATAAAAATCAGTAAGAAATCCTAAAGAAACCATTAAAGAAATCCCAAAAAAATCCCAAAGAATCACTATTAGAAAGAAAACTTATCTAAAAGAACAAAAGATCTGCTTCTAAAAAAAGAAGCAAAAAGAAAATTAGTAAAGAGAAAAAACCCACCCTCTGAAGAAACCCTTTTATAATTTAAAAAAAAGTTCTTAATTAACCTAAAAAATAAAATAAATTAAATTAAAAAAAAGTAAAATTAATATTAAAATAAATGATTGATTGATAATTGGATTTTACCAAATATTTTAGTAAATATTTAAATTGCGATAATCAGAAATCAATTTTGATATGAAATGATTTTCGATATTTAAAATCAATTTCATTATCTGAAATAATTTTTGATGTTTGAAATAGTTTCAAATATTTGAAATCAGTCAATCAATTTTAAATATTTGATTTTTTTATTTGACAAACAAATATTCAAATATTTTATTTTCAAATGGAAACCCTATGTAATTGCAAAAAATGTTTATAATTTAAAATTTAATATTTTAATTATAATAAATTACAAAATAATTATACAAATAACTTTATTAGAATATAAAAAGAAAATATATTAAATAAAATTAAAGATGTTTTAAAAAAAAAAATAAAAAAAAAATTTTTTAAATATTTTATTTTGTTTAATTTGATTGTTTAATCTGAATTTATCAGATCAGGTCATAAGCTTGACCTGATCTGATATTGACCTGAAAATTTATCTACCTGACCTGAATTTTTCAGGTTGGGTCAGGTTGAGTCACAGGTTGATTCAGAGCTCTATTATAAATACTGGTATTGTAATTCAATGCTATGAATACAATAAATGGTAGGTTTTATATTATAAATGTAAACTTAATACAAATGAAAATTCATTACTTAATCAGTTCTTAGATTCTATAGAGTATACATGTGAAAATTCATTTAATCATCTGATAGGAGATGGAAAATATAGTAATGATATAGAAAGTGATGATGTTTCAATTCTTTTTAAATATATTAAAGTTAATAATAAATTAAATTACAACAATTCTATAGAAGTTTCTTATTACTTATGCAATTTATATGAAGATTTATGTTTTTTATGTGAAATCAATGAGTGGGAGAAAACTGAGAATCAAGAAGAATGCTATTATTATTGTAGTGAATATTTAGTTAGAATAAATAATAAAAAGAAAAAATATATATATTTTCTGGAAATTCACAATTAAAACGAAGTTGATTGTAATAAAAATTATATTGAATTTTAAATAAAAGTTCCGAAGTTGATTATGTATAAATCACGTGAATAAAAATTTAAGCATATGTAGGTTTTTTAAAAAAATTATATAGCGGGTTATGAGAAACTAATAATTTTTTTTATATCACCTAGTCACACAAATAATATATTTTAATTATTAGTAATAGTCTAGTTATGACACATTAGTACTATGCTAATTACAATTAACAAATGATGATCCTGATGATTATGAATCTTAACTTTCTCAAATTTCTCTTATTTTTATAATATCTTAGCGATTTCTAATTTCTCATATTTGGGTGGTGATTTATTAAAATTGAGATACGAATCATATGATTTACTATGCCTTGTACCTCAATTTTAATAGCATACCACACATTTTTCTAATATATTTAATTTCTTATATTTATTATATTTCTTATATTTCTCTAATATCTATTTACTATTGATATATTTTATATAAATATCTTATATTTTTGCCTTGATAAAGGGTAGAGTCACTACAGTTCTCTAATAAATCAATAAAATTTATCTCTAAAACTTATCTTTGCTTATCAAACAATTCATTCTTTTTTAAATCTATATCGATAAAGATGACCTGACTTTTAATTTAATTATTCGTATTTATTTCTTCTATAGTTTAGATGTACTTAAATTCTCTGCTAGTAAATAATTTTTGTTAACTTAATGACGAATATTTTAAGCTTAATAACATATAAGTGATTATAATAATAATTCACTTAGTATAATACCTTCATATAGTCACAACATTTTATAGTCTTGAGGGTATGATTATAAAGGAGATTGACTATATATTAATAATATATTAAATTTTAGTTCAATTTAAATTACTAAATTTTAAGATATTTAATAATAATAATCATATATGAAAACTTTAATATATTTATTTTTGCAAATTTTTATAAAATTTTATATTATTATTAATTTATATTACTTGTTAATCAGTGATTAAAATTAGCTTAAATTTTAATATATAGGAGACAGTCAGTAGAAAAGGGGAAAATCTAAATTTTGGTCAAAATTTATATTATTGGACTACTTGGCTGATCTCGGTCATATATACAAAATTAGCTTAATAATTAAAATTAACAAAAATTTTGGATTTTTTCCTTTTCTACTAACCACCTTTCATATGGAAGCCTTGCAATAGAAAGGGAGGAAACTCTTAAAAAAATTTTTTTTTTGAGTTAATGTTAAATCTGAACTTACTTTACTAAAAAAATCATAATTAACTTATAAAGTAAAATTTTAATTTTTTTAGAGTTTCTTCCCTTTCTATTGCAAAACTCCTATATTATAAATATATTATTTATCTATTATATATAAAAGGTTTGTCTAATTTAAATTACTAAATATTGAGAAAATCGATAATATTAAAAAGTGTATATAAACCTTTATATTACTAATTTTCTAAATTTATTATTATAAAATTCAACATATGGGAGACAGTTAGTAGAAAAGAGGGAAATCTAAATTTTGGTCAAAATTTATATTAATAAACCACTTGGCTAATCTCAATCATGTGCACAAATTTTGCTTAATAATAAAAATTAACAAAAATTTTGGATTTCCCCTTTTCTACTGACTGCCTCCCATATTTATCAGTTTATTGTTAAAGTACAGACAATTCTTAATACTATTGATTTTTCTTAAATTTATTAATAAAATATGCTTTAAAGAGATCAATAAAATTATTTCTAATATTAGTTTCTGTATTTTAATGATCAAATATAATTGCAGAAATTTTTTTAATCAATTTACAACTGCTTTTTTTATTTGTCCTCTAATAATAGCCTTTTTTTAACTTATTCAGTCTATTTATTAATAACTGTTGCTTATTTAAAGGCAGTAAACTATTCAGTCAGATTTTCTCATTTCTATAAAAGTAATCAACTTTAATGGAATGTTCTTTTACTCTTACTCAACTCTAATAGCTCTAAAAATACTATCTAAAGTTTCTCTTATTTAATTTTCTTTTGCTGCTATTATTTTAAGTAATGGAGTTTCAGAGACTAAATTAATTAAATTACATACAGAAGAAGTTAGTGAAGTAAGTATTTAATATAATACTTCTATGTCATTTGTATTTAAACTAATGCTTATCTAATATTTCAATATAAATACTTTGTAAGACATATAAGTAATAATTTAATCAAAATAGTTAGTATTAAATAATATGCTGGTAATATATAAGAATGAGACGTAAAATAAGAATATAGCAATATGATAACAAAGGCTAGAAAGTAAACTACAAATATATTTTTAATTATTAATTACAGTATTCTTATCTAAGAGTATTGAATAATCTCTTAAATAAATTAAATTCTATAATAATTCTTGTAGAATAAGTTTCAACTTTATATTCATAATAAAATCAATTTCAAAAATTCTGAAAATTAAGTTCAAGTTTTTTAAATGAGGTAAAGAATAATATCAAAAGTATAAATAATATTTAAAATATTATTTGAATAATATCTAATAATATATTTAATTGTATTATATTCAACTTCTTCAAAATTTATATATTATGCTTGTTTGTCAGTGATTTATTATATATTTTATCAATAAATATAGGCCTAGTAGAAATCAAACTTATTAAGCTTAATTAACAAGAATTTATGTTATTATTTATATTGATATTTACAGCAACTAATGATTCGAATTAGCACAAATTTTTATGTAACAATGTTTATAATATATTAACTTTAGTTTAATTTGAATAATTAGGATTTGAGATATTCAACGGTTACAATCATTTGTGTAAACTTTTAGAGATCTTTTATATTAATTTTATAATAAATAATATTAAAATTTTCATAATTAATAAATTATAATATATTTTAATACATTAGCAATTTCTATTTATACATGTAATGTGCAGACACAGATCACGTGATTCAACATATCTTATATCACATGACTAAATTTTATTATAAAATCGATTTAAACTAATGAAATACTACAATACAATAAATGCATAATAAATGCTAATTAATAATATTATTATTTTGACACGTCATTGCGTAATGGTCATATTGCTTACACTTTATGCATTTCTGTTCTTTTGTAATACTTGTTAAGTCTTCTATATAAGTTGAAGTACGATAGTCTTCTATTATATTAACATTGCTACTATCTCTTAAACCCATTTTTCCCTATGTATAACCTTTCAACATTCACTATTAACCTTTTCAAAGGTCATCCTTTATATTTGATAACAACAGAATCATTAATATCAGTTAAGTTTTTTGGGTCCAGTTTGTTTTGTACATCATAAATAAAGGCCTTGAAAATATTTAACAATTTATACTACATATCAGCTTTAATAGCAAAGTTAATAGTTGCCTTTGATAATCCAGATAATTCAGCATACGTAGCTTTAGGCGATAATTTTTCAGACGATTGTGATGATTAAGAATTATATGAATCAATTTAAATGAAAAAGAAATGTTGGAAGGTGATATAGTTTTCAAATAGTATGATATCTTCTGATTATATTTTATCGCATATTAGGATAAAAGAATATTGTTGCAGAAGGTCATTCGATTCAACATTGTGATTCAAGTACCATCGATTCAGAACTATACTTATGTGAAATATGGTAAATCTAGAATAAGTATCAACACGGAAAAGTGTCGCATACTAACTCCTTATTAATCAAGAGAAGGCAGATACATAAATATGTATCTTTATCAAGCAGAATTACATAATGTTTGATTTCCTGTATGCTAGTTATATATTCATTCCATACTTTGAGAATTGCTTCCATTGGTAAATTTGAGACTAATGATCAGAAAAGAATTTGCCTTATATCCTGCTTTTTTTCTTAATTCCTATACTTATTCTTCCTTATCGGTTTCTATCTATTCATAAGAAATATGAAGTTAATAATCAAAATCAAAATTAGGAAACAGTAGGAAGTCTGAAGCAAGATGAAAATATAAGACAATTTATCAGCATCAGTGTAATTTCATAATGGGGATACAATCTGTAATACTATTTAATTCTAATTCTAACTTACAAACTTTTATTCTTCTTAATTATTAAATGAATCTTACTTTTATTAAATGATATTATTCTGTAATTTGCTTAATGTCGTAACATACAGATTGGTTCATTTTTGATCTTTATTTTTCAAGCATTACAGGAATCATCTATTCTTTAATAATAGCATCTACTTAACTGAAGACTCTTATATTCAACATTGGCATACCGATTGTAGGTAAACCATTTCGATCAAGTTCAAATTTTTCTAAATATTCATCACTTTTAATATGGTCATTAATACTAACCAACAGGATTAAATAATGATGTAGAAAGCATAGCAGGCTTAAATGTGATTGGTTGATCTTCAAAATAATCGTCACATAGTAATTTACTATAAAAAAGTTGATCACCTAACCTCAAATAGATTAGTAGTTACGAAAATGAATTGGCAAAGGTTGTGACCAAAAAAATTCAAAATTATACCTTTTGTTTTATAGACTGTCAAAATAATTCAGTTAACAGTAAGTTAATTCAAAAACTAGCTAATAAGAGTTTATTTTATTCCAGCATTTTTTATTAAAAAAAAAAATATAAAGCAAAATTCTATGCAAAAAGCCCACCACAAAGATCCAGCCTCCTCTGACAAGAAAAAGGGAAAAAGAAAGACTCGACATTGTGATTTGGAAGGCTAGAAGTGCGTCATTTGTAATTATGAAAAGCACAGTGCATCTATTGTATCTGAGAAAGTGATAATACTAAGTTCAAGTCAACATCTGGACTTGGTCAGCAAAGCTTTGTACCGGAAACATTATAATAAATTAATAGTAAACACTAAAAAATCTAAAATTAACAATGAATGTTTACATCTAAAATATGGGTTCTACATTTCTACAGCTCGATACAGTATGGAAACAAAGAATATTAAGAAGGCTCTAGAATGATTAACTAAATACTTTGAGCTAT